TCCTAAGCTTCAAAACACTGATGTAAACGGGAAAATACCTATCCCTATGGAACCTTGCTCTTTTCATTGGTGTTCAAAACCACAAGAGAACTAAAAATCTTCACCTTGAAACATAATCCATAAAGCCAATCATAAACCAGTTGCCATGCTGAACTGTGCTGAATTTATCCATGAACAGAAACCTAATGAAATGGAATATATGCAGAGATGCAAAATTTATCGATTGTCATTCACTAATTAAAATTTCTAGTATATCTGTAAAGATCTTTGCCTTCTTCAGTTTCAGCATTCGAAGTTAGTATGAATGAAGGGAGAAAATTTTTAAGTAAGATTAATTATTACATAGAGCAGATTGTTCTGACAATAACAGAACATCTGCTTAGTGCTGACAAGTGTATATAAGCAACCAGTATGTCTGGTCTAAACCAACTCAGTGGTTGAGACTTTTAGACTGTATTTACTTTACCTTGTAATTGAAAAATTTTGTAACATGAGCAAATAGTTCAAAGCTGAAATCCAGATCAATAGATTCCCCAAAAGTATCTGCTGCCATGCATTTTGCTGCATACCATCCCATCTGCCTGGCTTGAGTCCACAGTCTCATCTAGGGGGAAAAAAAATAATGAAATATTTAAGAACCCAGCTGAACGTCAGTACGCAATGACCAACCCTCCCTGTATTGTCAGTGCATACTACGTATTTTCATTATACTCAGAAAGACTGAACAGCTTGGATTTCAGTCACATAGACAATTATCTGTCATCAATACACCCAGGATGATCTGCTTCTTCACTGGTTTCTGCTTCAATTCAACTTTCTTTCCTCCCATCTAGTGTCTCCAAATAGTGTGTAATTTCCTTTGTAGATCAGCTGCTGCTGAGGGCAGGACTGTATGACTGGATTTACCTGATGCCACACTGGGCTAGGTTCCCACGAAGCTGTGCAGATATCCCCAGCTGCATATATATCTGGCAGGGATGTGTGCATGTGCTTATCTACTTTCAGACCTCCATCTTCACCTACAGCAAACTAAAGTATTTGCACAGATCAGTACTGAAGAAAAATCACCATTTAAACCAAGAAATTCAACCTCACCTGTGTTAAGCAGTCATCTCATTTGTTACTTTTTAATGGAAGACTCTAAAAAATGTCAGTAAGTTTGCTATTTTGCTAACTCATAACATTAGAAGATATAAAATTGTATTAATAAATAGTAGAGGAACCCAGCAAGATGCTCTTCTGGATGCCAGGTAGCAACAGAAAAAAAGGTCATGCAGCATAAACAAAGTATGGCTATTCTCCTTCCTAAGCTGACTCAATTAGAAAAGACTGATAACCACAAGAGAATCATGTTGTTCAACCCTCACCAATCCATCTTCAAGGGAAGAAAAGAGATCCCCCAAAGACTGCCATAATGAAGTATTTTCCACATCTACATACCAAGACTGCTTTTCCATATTATAATGCAACCCTGCCCCCTGCGGAATTTATCCTAAATACCTGAATCTTATCATGCATAGAACCATTCAGATAAGCAAAGACAAAATTAGGCTAACAAAAGTAGAATTTCCTAGAAACCTGTGTGGTTTTCCTTACCAATTTTAAGAACACATCAGTGTTGCATTTTACAAGGGACCTTTGCATATCCTTTTAAAGTATCTCAAATGTATTTACAAAAAAGCTTAGAAAATCATTACATACAGAAAATGATTATTTAACGTAAGACTATCTAGAGTGGCCAAACTCCACGGTAACACACCAAACATTAAGCATTATTTCTATAACACAGCATAGGTTTTTAAAATATTGCCGATACCTAGGCAGGGAAATAACAGACAGAGCTTGCAAATCACACTTTGTACATTACAGGAACACTTATGGTAAAGAATTAATTTTGTATTTTTGCCAAGGACAGAAGACACCATTGCAAATACCTAATTCCTGATCTAACTTTATAATGTAGGCCTTGAAATATTACATGGCTCAACGTCAGAATTATGTTTTCCTAATTTTCTTCTGCTTTATTCTATTTTAATTCCAAATCAGAAGGAACTGCAAATCATCCAGTACCCTAAGGTACTGGTTATGTCTGGGACAGAGTTAATTTTATCCATAGTAGCTCGCATGGGTCTACATTTTGGATTTGCAATGCTAGCACATGGATGTTTTAGTTGTTGCTGGGCAGTGCTTACGCAGCCTCAAGGTCTTTCCTGGGCCAGTGGTAAGGCTGGGGGTGCAAATCAAGTTGGGAGGGGATCCAGCTGGAGCAGCTGACAGTCACTGATCCAAGTGATACCACCAAGCTATATACAGTGTGCTCTGCAGGAAACGCTGGAGGCAAGGAGGAAGAGGGGGGTGTGCATAATTATGGCGCTTGTCTTCCCAAGTAACAGTGATGAGTGATAAGCCCTGCTTTCCTGGAAGTGGCTAAACATCTCCCTGCCAATGGAAGGACTGAATGAATTCCTGATTTTGCTTTGCTTGTAGGCACAGCTTTTGCTTTCCTCTAACTGTCTTCATCTCAAACCAACCGTGAGTTTTTTCATTTTATCCCTCCGACTTTCTTTCCCCATCCCACTGTAGGGAGTAAATGAGCAGCTTTGTGAGGGTGAGCTGCTGTCCAGGGTCAAGCCAGACACCTAACATGGAGGCAGAATGATACGAAGGCCTCAAAATTCACATGGCAGCCATCAACTCTGTAATCATTATCTAAGTTCAGGTGCTGTGTGACTTCCCTCAATAAATACAAGCACTTTATAGCTCAGCTTCGCAGATGAAAAATATTAAAATTTTTTTTTTCCTTAGAAGGAAGCAATTAAGATCTGTAAGATAAGAATATGATGCAGAACTAAAAAAATTATTCTAAATTTTTGCCACATTAACCAATTATACAAGTATTTTTCTCTCTTTGTATTTACTTAGCAGTGTGTATTGCATACATCAGTACATAAGCAGCAATATATTAAGTCAAAAACACTAAGGAAATTAATTTTTATCATGTTAGGTATTTCTGGTACCAACAATTTTGAAACACTGTACAACATTCACAGCCTTTAGTAATCAATGTTTTGTGTCAGAAGCATAAACCACCTGGGAGAGTTTATTTCACCTTACTTAAAAAAAAACCAGCTTAAACTTCAAAAGAAATCAGTATACTTACATTATTGCCATTAAGAAATGGTTTAACATTTGGCACAACTCCAGTGGCACTGACAATGAAATTGCATCCGTAAATTTTTCCATTAGTTAATTCCACATATACAGGCCACAGAACTGTAAAAGGGGAAAATTTTGCCCTGAGAATGTAACGAACAGAATTTATTTTATTAATTATGTCTTATAATAAGATATGAAATAATAATCAGAAAAATAGTCTTTTGAGATCTCTAATCGATTAGGTAGGGAAAAAAAAACCAACTAAAGATTACCTATAACATTTCTTACCTTCATTTAGGACTAGAAAAAGAAGATTTTGGAGCTGAGCTCCAAAGTCCTGCTATTAACTTTCTCTGGAATTTTCCTAAATCAAATCCCTCATTTGTAAGGGGAAAACACTGTGTCCTGCCACTGCTTCAGTCCTGTGGGATGTTCTCTGAAGTACACAATTGCCAAATATGCTTTTATATGTAAATTTACACATACATAGGATATGCTTCAAAAGCTAAAAAGAATGTCAAGAGATTTGATTTGCTAGAATCTTACACCAGAAGTAACTGGCTGTTAAAATAGTAATTTAAGTTTTCATTCAGTGGAATTTATACAGAATTATTAATGAAACAAATAATGTTTTATTCTACTTTCTTTGAAGGATTACTTCAGTTTTGACATCAAATGTTTTGGGGTTTTGTGCTTCTGTTTTAACTCCACTATATTGTTTTATTGGATTGTCACAAGAAAGGAATATTCTGCATAAGGAATTTAGGGGACTTTGTGGAAAAACAGCGTGACCCGTAACATTTTGTAATTTTATTATAGCCCATGAATAAAAGTCTCAATTCCTAGACCTCCATTTGATTTATAAAAATAAAGGATTTGTTTTCTAAATCTGTATTTGTTTTAAGCCAGCAGACAAGATCAAACATGCTCCAGCAGTGCTTTATCTTTCAACACGTTATTTCTTATCAGCACTGGCACCTACCCTCATCGGGTTCTACATTTTTCTCTTCCTTAGGAAAAGTCAAAGAAGTCCGTTGCAGTTGTATAAACTCTTGCTGTAAGTATATTTTCTTTACTTCACATAGTATTTCAATATGTACTTTATGGGAAAACTAAAGAAAGATTGACAAAATGGTGAACATGATAATTAGTATTAACAGTATTTTTAATAGCAAGTATACCCTCACCTAAGCTGACTTCAGTAAACTGGAAAAAAACAAATATATCCCATCTTAAAGCATGACACATTAGCTGAGTTCCCACACTTTTTCCCTTTTTGGCACAGATCTAACCATAGCCAATGCCAATTTACCTGCTTTTTCAGCAGATATCTGATGTTTCTTGAAATTTCTTACCAATTTAATTTTTCTGGCATGCCGGAAAGCTTATCAAGTTCCCCAGAGTTGACAGGGAGATAAATCAGAACTTAAGAGAAAAAAAGTAAACTCATCTTTTCAGTCTTTGAAGATTTCAAATCCTTCCTTTTTCTAACATGAATTAAATTGATAGCAATAACAAGTTTATGTTCTAAATGCTGCCAAAAGAAAATACATCCTGTTCCAGCTGCCCATGTTTCAACCCCTTACTCCTATTCTGAGCTCAAGACAGAAGGTGGAAAGCTGCCTGCTTCTTTAAACTATTTTGTAGAGTCAGGCCTTGAAGAGTTTCATTTCCTACTATGCAAACACATTTCCACAGCCTTCAACAGCCAAAACACCACCAATTAACTGCTGAATGTCCTAAACATCCTTTAGTTGGTATTGTAAAGCCATTGCTGTAGAATCAATAATGTTTGAAAGGTCTTTTTTAAAAAATATACAAACACCTAACAGCTAAAAAATTAATACAGAAAACCCTAATTAAAAACTATGAAATGTGAGGATTTTTACTTTATTTCTAAAATGAAACTCTTCACAATGCTCATATCCACTACTGATTTTGCATTTCATCATCTGCCGTGACTGGAGACTGATGTTCAGTACAAATACTACTGTTCTGTTTTTCATGACAGAGAACATACATATGGCAGCTAAAATCAGGACAATAGAGGTAGCACTTGTTCTGGTTAAAGCTCAGATTGACACTAGTCCCACAGAAATATGCAAACTAACATTTATCTTTCAATCTGAAGAGCAAATTGCTAAAACCATGTCAGTGGATCCCATTAACCACCCTTTTCCTGAAGCAGAAAGTTGCTTTTGTTAACATATTTTGCTGTTGAACTCTGACAGAAGAATCAGTTCAAGCATATTTTTGTTTTTATTTGTCTAGTAATCCTGAACGTGGCATTTCACTTCTGTCATCCTTACCCACTTAAAGCAACATTTAAACAAATGTGTAAGCAAAATTATGACCATACCTCTTTAGTCCCTTTAAGATCTAAGCCCTCGTGCCAATCAGGGCCTAAGGCACTGCCCAGTTTGTCAGACGCTGCTACTGGTCGCTCTTTTTCCTCACTTCCTGAAGGAAAGAGATAAAGAGCAGCTGATTTAGCGTGCATTCTTCACTGCCTCTAGCATTCAGACTAAGGATTCTCAAGAGAAATATGACCTGGTTGGCAAAAGGGAAGACAAAAGTGTGCAATGTCCCAAAATCAGACAAATCAGACTCCAAGCCAGTATTTTTAACACCCTTCCACTTTATGCCTTTCATTATGTCACTCATTTCCTAAACAACCATGCCACCATTAGGTGCCTGCATGGATCTTAACAGCTAGATCCCAACAGCTCCAGGGTTCTGGATACTCACTGTAGACTTGGCTGCTTAATATCATGGCTAATACTTAAATTGATGTCTATCTGCTTGCAGATGTGCAGTCTCCTCTCCATGCACAGCAGTGCAAACTATAACATACCATGACATATATGAAGAATGCTGAGTACCATTTTGTGATGCTTTGGCTGACTTTCTTACTTATTCTTCCAACCTGAGGTCTAGAACCATGCTCTTCTTTTTGTTATTATTTGGATATATGTTTGTGTCATATTTGTTCATGCAGTTTTCCTTCACTGTTGTTAATAAGACTGCAGTTTCGTCACATCTGTAATAACATTATCTGAGATTTCATCTTGTCCTCCAATAGCTTATTGCAGGAGAGCTCCTTCCTACATAAAGCTGACATAGTTCAGAAAAAAAAATGTATTACAGAAAATGGAACAAGTTCTTCAGCAGATGGAATACAGGAAACAAAATGTAAACTTGGCACAAACATAAAGGTAAGTGCATTTTTTACAGTTTGTAGGTAACTGTCTAATATACTGTCATGTGTATACATCAATTCTGGATGAGGTTTTACACCTTTTTTTGCTTTTTAAAGAAGGAAATGCCACTGATGATAAACCTTATTTATGGCCTACGAAATTAATTAACTGATCTTAGGACTATCTTTAACACTAAATGCTTCTGCAGTGTTAGGGACTAAAACACCATACCTTCCATTGTATACTTGGTTCTTTTACACTGAATTGGAGTCTCTTGGTTTTCAGCAGTTAGCTTTGGAATGAGAAATTCAGCTGCTCCTGCATCAAAAAAAGTGTTCCCAATGGCTTTGTCTTTGATAGCCCAGATTACTTCACAGCCTTGAATTTCATACCTGTGGGCAAGTAAACAATGGATAAAGTGACAGACTATGTGAAAAGGATCTGACTCTTACTAACACAACTAGAAGCACGCCAGGTTTCATTCCAGAAGCTAGAAATGAGGGATTCAAAACTTTTAAACCTATCAAATCCACTACTGCCTTTAAGTACTTCCATAAAGAACACATTTCAAAAAATATTAAAAAATCTCTTCAAGTTGACAGGTCATACTGTATCACCAGCACAACTGTGACTGAACTGCCAGAAGGTGAGGAGAAGCAGATCAAATTTATAATAATACTTCATATTTCCTGCTCCCCACAATGAAAAAAAAAGTGCAAGTTTGCGAGACTGCCCGTTGCTATGAATGGAGATTTGGATCTTATTTGTACTACCTGGAAGATGAACTGGTGCAAACATGCAAAGGACAATTTAGTGAAAAAGTAATTTCCTGCAACACAAAACAAGACCATGTAACTGTCTAACACAGGTGGTTCTGTAATCTAGCAGAATGCAGGACCACATGCTTCAGTATCCTACCTGTGACAAAGGCCATGTCAGACACTGCAAAAGCTCTATCAACTTAAATTAGGCTAAATGAAAGATAAGCTGCCTCTTTGTTCCTGTTATGTCTTCTGTCTCCAGAAGTCAAACAAGTTGTATAACTTAAATATTGCTCTTCATAGTCTTAGCAGAAATCTGTTGGTGCCAAATTAGAAAAACACTGTATATACTTGGTATGTTTGTGTCTGAAGCTTTCTGAATTTTATGTGACAGTAAGTGCCACCATACTATGAAGAAAATATTTAATCAATTCTGCTACTCAATTATTTATAAGCTACAATATTTTAAGTCAACCTTCTCCCAAACTTGTGCACACTAGATTTAACATTGAATTATAAAGATTTTGTTTGCATATTTCTATTTAAAACTCAGTAATTTACTTACACCAATTCAAGTGCGATCCCACCGTTTCCTACCACTACTATTCTCTCAGCTTGAGCTAAATTCTTCTGAAAAGCCTGCATTAAGAAAGAAAAAGTGCCAATTACAACTTAGATCATATCTTCCATCACACTGATCAATTGTATCTTCTTCAGTATTTTCTTGCTCTCTTGGTTTTTTTATTTTAATTTTCTCAAGACTCCTGAAATGCATGTACTTATGCTAAGATCTGTTATAGAAGCTACTAAAAACTGTGAATTTCTGTCACATTAAGGGATGAAATTACTGATAAAGCCTTACAAGTCTTGAAATGAAGGGCTGTATTTTTGGTGGCTTTTTCCTCCTTCCTCTTTACTTGCATTTAAAAAGAGGGGAAAAAAGAGCAATGTTTTCATGTCCAAAACAAACTAATTATTTCATAGTTCAGCCTCATCTTGCTTGAAAAAGTATCCCCTTTTTTATTCTCAACATCAAACTTCATTTGATGAATTACAGTTCTTATGATGCAGAAGTGTTCACCTTCACCCTGCCTCCCCTAATTCTTAAGACCTATAGAAGTGAAACACCACTTCCTATTTTCAAGGTTATTTTTAGTCTATTAAGTAATCGTTCCTCATGTGAAAACTCTTCCGCATCTTTGACTATAACTTTAGCTCTTTTCTGTACAATGAAGAGAGGCTATGGCAGAAGGGGAGGCGGGGGGGGGGGGAAAAGAAGTCCTTCAGTAGGTTTTCCCTGTAAGAAGTAGCCCTTCATACCATGTAACTGATAGACCTCCTCAGGGAAATTTCTAACACAGTAAGCTAGAATAAATGTAGAAATACTGTCTATGAGCTATGTATACATTTAATTAACCTAGTGACTAATTAATTTATGTAATGGTATTTTAAGGCTACTTCTCTGCTACTGAAATTACTGCTATCTAAGGATATATAGCAACAAACATCATGTTATGTTTTTCCATTTCACTCTGCAATAATTTTTAGTATTTTGCATCAGAAGCAGGAATATATCACACACTGATAAGTCCAAAACTCATTTACCTGTGCACTGTCAGTATCTCGGATTCCTAACACATATGGGTTTCCTTCAAAAACTAATTTTGGTTTTGCTCCAGCACACAGGCAGAGTTTTTCGTATGTATATTCTTTCCCATCCTCAGTCAAAACTTTCTGTTAGATATTAAAAGAAAAACAATTGGAGACATCTAAGAGAACATCTGCTCTTTTTATTCCCTCTATGTCATAGCATTTTGCCGGTATTAAAAGCTGTAAGTGGCTTCAAAGCCTCCATACTCTCACTGAATGTGTCACTTATTTGCACTGTACTCACCACGGACTTATAAGCTGAAGTATATGACACTGTATGACAGATAAAGTGGAAACTGTACACAGTACACTCAAAGAAGAAATACTCAGGCTACCACTTGGTGGCACTTTGTACTCACCATCGGTGCTAAAAGAATCGGTTTTCTATGTGACCCGAGTCCCCCCGCCCCAGTAATAGATGTAGACCTGTGCACTATTACACATCAGCAATTAGGATTCTTGTTCAAAACATTTCAACGACAGGCCCGTGTTAACATAGCACAGGCTAGAACATGATTTAGGAAGATCACAAATTCTGTTCTTTGCTAAACAAAACAGGTAGGCACTAAACAAGCTGCATGATTCTGCAACAAGCAATATTTAATTTTTAACATTTTATGACCTTATTGGTTTTTTTCAAAACTAGAAGCTAAATAGTTTACAGTGGTTTTCTACAAACAGATTTTTTAAAGGTTCTGGGATATGTGGAGAACAGCCCAGAGAGGCAAAGATCCTCCAAATCCATATAGATAAAATACTCATGCTTACAGAGGCATACCTAAACTAAAACAACATTATAATAATGATATAAAAGTATAACTGCATTCATACTATTATCTGAATTATAATCTAACTGGAATTGTATCTCTGTGGCTTAAATTGAGCAAAAACCGTTTTGGATCTGAATGTGAGTTTGGTAATTGCTGAAGTGAAAAATAATATGTCAAGTTGACAAAGACACTAACAAGGATCTGTAGATGCTGTACACTGCAACATGTTTCCTGCTG